CGAAGGATACTCGATTCAAAAGCACCTTTAAAGATTGATGTTGGTTGCTTGACTCGGCAGCAAGAAGCTACACTTCAACCAACTCGACAGATTGAAAGATCGACATTTATTTCCAATATAAATTTTGTCTCGCTTGAGACAATATCATTTAATTTATCTCACTTGAGATTTTTTTTTCTTAAAACAAGATCTGTCTCGCTTGAGACCGTTTTCACCATAAATAAGGCATTTCATTTCACTCGAAAGAAGATTTATTTCACTCAAGATTGTTTTTCTTAAAACACATTTTGTCTCCCTTGAGACAGTTTCTTTTGGAACTAAGTTTTATCTCCCTTGAGACAGTTTCTCTTGAAACAACACAATTTGCTCGAGAGTAGATTTCAACTTCACGACGGAGGATATCTAACTCAGAGCCAAACTTCACAGTAAAGAGGTCTTCACGGTTTCAACTTCACGGCGAAGGGAATCGTGTCCACCCGCAACATACAATACTTGGATTTCAACTTCACGACGAAGGATATTCAAGTCAAGGCTCAACTTCACGATGAAGAGGCCATCCGCGATTTCAACTCCACAACGGAGGATATCGTGCCACTCAAGACAACGCAAGTTCAACTTCACGACGAAGGGACCGCTGGTTGTCAATAAACAACTTCCCAATTTCAGAGCCAATTTCAACTTCACAGCGAAGGATATTGGACTCCAGACAACGCAAGTTCAACTTCACGACGAAGGGACCGCTGGTTGTCAACAAACTTCCCAATTTCAGAGCCAATTTCAACTTCACAATGAAGGATATTGGACTCCAGACAACGCAAGTTCAACTTCACGACGAAGGGACCGCTGGTTGTCAATAAACAATTTCCCAATTTCAGATCCAATTTCAACTTCACAGCGAAGGATATTGGACTCAAGACAACGCAAGTTCAACTTCACGACGAAGGGACCGCTGGTTGTCAACAAACAATTTCCCAATTTCGGAGCCAATTTCAACTTCACAGCGAAGGATATTAGACTCGAGACAACACAAGTTCAACTTCACAACGAAGGGACGGTTGGTTGTCAACAAACAATTTCCCGGTTCCAGAGCCAATTTCAACTTCACGACGGAGGATATTGGACTCGGAACAATGCTACTTACTTGGATTTCAACTTCACGACGAAGAATATCCAATTCCAGACTCAACTTCACGACGAAGGGGTCACCCGCGGTTTCAACTTCACGACGAAGGGAATCGTGCACACAAGCAGCATCCATCTCTAGCTCGTTTTCAACTTTACGACGAATGATTCAGGCTCAGAATTTTCCAGTTTTGACTCAACCTCACGAAGAGGGGGTCATCTCATGATTCATATTGACAAACCAGTTTCCATATCGGATTTCAACTCTACGATAGAGGATATTCGATATGACTGAAATTTGTGTCTTTTAATCTTTGCTCTATTTTCGTTACACGATAATGAGCAAAGAGGGGCAGCTGTAGACATCAAATTTCGTCTCATTATAATATTTAATATAAAACATATTATATATATATTATGTGTTATATTACTTATTTATTTATTGTTTTGTTACATTTGCAGGCCCTACAAAAAAACACGAGGCCCAACAAACCAACTCAGATCAAGGTTTCCAAGAACCCTAGCAAGCAGCGCCGCACGGAACTTCCCAAGCCCGGATTTCACGGATGCATATCCCATCTTCAACCACTCTGATTTCTCCGGCGCAAGGATTTCATGGAGATAACAAACCAACAAACAACTGAGTTAGAATTCTAATAAGGATCAAACTCTAAAATCATAGGCTATAAATCCCATGTAACTAGAACACTCATTGGAGGAGGTGACATGCAAAAATACTCAGAGTTTACAAGAAACGCGACGGAAATAAGCACGATTACACGCACACAAAGCCACAAGAAAATCACACGAAACACTTAGAGAGATATACGAGTAATCAAGGCATTTGTAAAGTGTTTTTCGAAAAGGAAATAAAAGAAAGGTACATTTTTTACCTTTTTGTTCGTTTTACTGTCCTTGCATGTTGATTCTTGTTTGCGTTTTGGCTCGGAAACAATCAAAATACGCTCGGCTGAGGACCGGGGAAGAGAAAAAATACAAGGGAGAAGAACAGAATGATACGAGTAAAAAAGATAAATGTGGTTTCAAGTTTCCTTACACTGTTCGACGGGATTCAGTGCCAAGGAGAGCCTTGGTGCTCCATTTCTTGCGCATTTGAGCCCCGATGATAAACTCAAGAGAATCCCAGGAAATGGGTTTTACCAGAGAGCATTTTCTCTGTTTCATATTAACGCGTTGAAGTCAAATATGGTACAAGAACCTATTTCAATTTTCAAATCCCAGTTTTATTTTTTTTAATGTAAAAGAATGCCAAAAGAAAAAATCCAAACGAATCACGCGTGAAAATCAAAGGATTTTTTGAGTTTCATATAATTTTTGGGTTAACTAGGGAATACGTCATTAGAGAGTTACATATTGTAGCTCTGGAGTTATGTTTTTATTTCTTTCAAGTTGGTCACTAATTGCATTTGTTTTTACTTTGGACTCTCTATTTTACTTTTATTTTAATTTAGTCATTTTTGTTTTATTTATTATTTTTTCTTTCATGGTTTACGTTTAAATATTTTATTTTATTTTTAGTTTATTCTTATTCTTATTTTATTTTTTCACTAACCCTTTTAATTTTTATTTTATTCATTTTATTTTCTTTCTTTCTTTCTTTATTATTTTTGTTTATTTTCTTTTTTACTAACTTTTAATTATCTCTGTTACTTATTTTATCTTAGATTTTTTTCCTTGTATTTATTTTTATTTTATCATCTAACATTTTTTGGCATTTTCAATGGTAATTTCAATCGATCAAAGGTAATAATTCGAATCGAATATTTCAAGTTTTAATTTAAATTTCTAATTTTCGTAATTAAGACAACTGACAAATTAATTGGTACCGAAAGGGCGGTTCAAGGGTGCTAATCCTTCCTTGATTGTAACCGACTCCCGAACCCGACACATTTCTGATATAACGCAGATCAGGTAAGATGGTGTCCGACCCACCTAAATTCGTTTTAAAATGATCGGTGGCGACTCCCTAATCAATTAATCAAGTCGAAGCCCAATTCCGGTCCCCAACCGAAAGACGGTTACGACACCCTGTAAAAGAAGTATGGTAGTCATTTCCTCATAAGATATATCTCATAGGATTTGTAATATAATTGCTTTTATACTTTAAGATCTCTCATTTATTTTTTGACATGCTCGTCTCTGTTTTGAAGTGCGGGACGTGACATTAGCTTCATGTGTCTTTGTTAGCTAGTTTTTTCTTTTACACTAATTTACATTGCAGGCCCTTCTTCTTTTTTATTTTTTTGAATAAATCATAGAATTTATTAGAAGCCAATAGCGTCAAGATTTACATTGTTTTTTGAACATTCCGGTTCATCATAGAAAAACCAAACAGGATTGGTCCTCGACAGAGCCCAATGAACAAGAGTGTGCGCCACCCGATTTGCCTCTTGGCTGGCATAATGAACTTTGATGTTCGGTGCCTCGACCAGAGAAGAACGTACCTCTTCGAGCAACAATCCAATAACCGAAATGTCTTCATGAGGATTTGTCAATAGGTTCACAGTTGAGACAGCATCCCCTTCAATTATCGCTTGTTCCCAACCGTTCTCAATTGCCATGAGGATGCCTTCCTTGAAGGCAATTGCCTCAGCCGATTCTACCGTATGAGCATTATCTAGTCTTCGTGCCATCCCGCTAACCACCATCCCATGGTGATCGCAAGCCACAAGACCACTGGCCGTGACACCTGTGCTAGCGATGAAGGCACCATCAACGTTGATTTTGATTTTGTTTTCCGTCGTGATACCCAATGCCTCTTTGTAATCATTTCCAAGCATTAAAGCGGTCTTAACCACCTCATAATCCCTCTGCCACTCTTTATCATGAGTCCATTTGTTTCGGCGATTCTAAATGTTCCAAAGGAGGCCCACGAACCGAGCAAAACCTTCTCTATCCAGACTCGCTGTTGTGTCTTCAAACCATTCCTTGCAGGTTGAGGTCCTTGAGTTAACGAGTGCCTGGTCTAAACCAGAGAACATAAGAACATCTTGTGCTAGCCGACAGTCCCTAAGAGCATGTACCACCGTTTCGACCCCTTGCTGGCACATCGGACACAAACTACTGGCTCTAATCTAGCCCCCGTAAGAAGTGCTTCTTAGCAGGCCCTCCATCCAAAGATTTTAATCTTCGGGAGAGTGTGAAGCTTTAGCAAGAATCTCCAAATCGTTGAGCGATCTCGTTCTGTTCCAGCAGCCAAGAGAAGCCAATTTTTCTAATGAAAAATAAAGAGAGGTGAAAGGGAGGATCCCATCATTTCCTGCAAGTTTTGGTAGATGTTGCCCAATCAACCATCAAAGCACCCACTAATCCAATCTAATCCAAATGCCAACTTATGCCACCATTCACCAATCTAAGCTCTACACCCCTACCAAATGCAGCATAAGATATCGTTATTTAACCATCAGATCATTTCTTACGAAAAAGAAGTCTGCAAATTGACAAGCACCACACAAGGCCGCAGCGTATTCCAGAAGCATCCAAAAAGCAAAAGCACTGATTTATATCGTGATTAGATTAGGACAATGAATCGAATATTTATAATTTTTTAATTACTTTTATTTTTATTTAAAAAATTTAAACATATTTTTATCTATAAGTTACACGAATATTATTATACAAATATATTTTTAAAAAATTATTTAAATTAATATTATTATTTGAAATTCATACAATATATATATATATATATATATATATATATATATATAATTTTGAAATAATGGAAAAGGAAAGAAGAAGACATTTTATTTACTTTAGCCGCATAAGCCTCCAGGGCCAATTTCATTTTGCCCTTTTTAACCTCAAAAGCCTCCTTTCCCCCCCCCCCTCTCAACATCTATTTAGACCTCTTTTCGTCCCCCTCAAACCTGGAAAACAAGGTAACAACAATGGCGATGTCCGTTTCCATTTTAGCCATCATCACCGCCCTACACCTCATCGCCTTCGTCTTCGCCGTCGGCGCTGAACGACGCCGTAGCTTTGTACTCTCTCTCACTCTCACTTATAAACTCTGGTTTCTTGCGTTGCTTTAGCTTAACGTGGTGGTTTTTTTCCCTCTTTGAAGGCTAAGGTGGTGCCCGATCGGTACGACGAGAGGACCTACTGCCTCTACAGTACGGATGCGTCGACGGTGTACGGACTGTGTGCTTTTGGCCTGCTTCTTCTTAGCCAGGTTATTGTTAACGGCGTCACTAGATGTCTCTGTTTTGGGAAAGGCCTCGTCTCCGCCACTTCATCCACCACTTGCGCCATCTTCTTCTTCGTTTTATCCTGGTAATTTTTCTGTGCTACTTTGATTTACTATATTTATTACTTTGATTTACTGTATCTGGTTTTACTGTAAGTGGTTTCATTTCTTAAAATGTCTCATCGACAAGATTTGGGGGAACGGATATTCCAAATTAGAAACTGATTATGTAGATGGCCCGTCCATTTTCTGAAATGGAAATGGCTGATTTTGTCTGGATGCACCGAAATTTCCCCACCGCCAGTCAATTATGCGCATGTAATGGAGCCCACTAAGTTACCTTAGAGGCTCACAGGTTGTACCCACATGCTAGTTGTTGAATTACTATTACTTGATAATAATTACAAAGTACAAACATTATTCTATTTGTTAGAGAGACTGAATTTCATTTGACCTGACTCGAAAAGTTCAAACTATAGTATGGTATAATTTTATTCAATTAGGGTTAGTGTCTGTGGCAAAATCAACTAGATAATGCGTTGAAATTTTTTTTTTCACGAGATAGTGCTCTCGCCAGATTAATTGCTTAGATGGGGTAATCTCTACAGTCCCCATATAGGTCGCCAGGTGCTCCGGGCGACGTCCCTATTTGATGGGGTAGGTCGCCATGCACGTCCAGCGACCTACCATGTCGCCATGCACGCCCAGCGACCTAGGTAGGTCGCCATGCAATTCCCAAAGGTCACCATGCAGTCCATGCATCTGGATTATCGTCATCAAGGTCTTATAACCTGTAGTTTTACCTAAGAGTTTTATTATGACTAAGTTTTGCATACTTTGATCAATGGTTTCGTGCATACGTTTAGAAAATTGGATTTTGATCTATTACCACCTAGTCCCCCAGAAGAACGATATCATCATCTTCAAGCATTCCTAATCTCGATTGCGCACTTTTTCTTGCTCCAGCCACTATATCGGCGTAAGTTCTCTCTCCCTCATGAATTTCTAGTTTGTTTAGGGTTACGATCTCGTTCACTTTTCCAACTCTTCCTACTTCAGAATCCTCCATGAAAATATCATCAGGTGCATTAGGTGTCAAAATAACTAGGTCTTTTCCTAGCAATTCTTCAGTTTTCTGTCCCCCCCCCCTCCCCAGCAAGTTTTGGGTTGAACTTCGCAGTCTCGGGTTCGTTTCTTCTTATTGTTGCTTCCTTAATCGGGCTTGGTCTGTATCGTCGGGTGGTTTGTCACCATGCTTCCCGATAGAAAGCACTCATTGGCTATATTGTTAGGGTTTTCCATCGAGAGAGTTTTTCTCGCGTTGTTTTTTATTAGCTACCATTGGCCATTAGACATTAATAGCCATTGGCAAAGGAACCTTTTGTTTTGTTACTTTAAGGGTGGAAGAGAGGAAGGGAATCTCAGCAGGGCTAAAAAGCCAGAAAAAAAAGGTGCAGCGCAGCACTACAAAAGAATATGTAGATAGAGGCCCGATGAGATGCTGCATGCCTCATATATATATTTAAAATTATATATTTGCCAAGCATGGACTGCATGGTGACCTTTGGGGATTGCATGGCGACCTACCTAGGTCGTTGGGCGTGCATGGCGACCTGGTAGGTCGCTGGGCGTGCATGGAGACCTACCCCAGGACGTCGCCCGGAGCATCTGGCGACCTATATGGGGACTGTAGAGATCACCCCATCTGAGCAATTAATCTGGCGAGGGCACTATCTCGTGAAAAAAAAAATTTCAATGCATTATCTCGTTGATTTTACCGTCTGTATAATTATATAACCATGTATTTAGAATTAAGGTTATTGTATTCTAGAATTTGGCGTACTCTCATATAATCTATTTGTAATTTACTGCCGATTGTAGTGAGTTTTTTCTCCCATTATTTTATCCATCTGCATCCTATGTGGCTAACCTTTGCCCCCTTATCGAGCTATCCCAGCTTGCAGGTGAATCTCTCATTTCTCACTATCTCCTTAGTCCTACTTAATACCCAACCATCTTAACGTTTGCACCTTCAAGCTCAAAGCCATATTGTGATCACAAAAAACTTCAGCCCCTCTCTCTTAATTTTTGAGCCTTTTGTATTTGTTTTAACAAACCTCGTATCTTCGACCTAAACCCTAAACCATACTTCGACCCCCCTCACGATATAGGCAAGTAGCTCCTTATCTTCAATGCACTAAAATCATCTTGAATATTTTTGTTGTTTTATAATAAAATATGAACGATGAATCAGGCTAAGCTTTCTTGGAGCCGAGGCGTGTTTACTGGCGGGATCAGCACGGAATGCATACCACACCAAGTATCGAGGGATCTTCGGTGGAGATGACTTATCATGTGCTACGCTCAGGAAAGGGGTGTTTGCTGCTGGAGCTGCTCTAACTTTGTTGTCATTGGTGGGATCGATCTTGTATTACTGGGCTCACTCCAGAGCTGATACCGGAGGATGGGAGAAACATCAGGATGAAGGTCTTGGAATGACACAGCAGCCTCGTGAATTTGAGAAGGTGTAACTCTATCGTGCTTGAGGTTGTTTAATTTCCCCCTAAAATTTTGGTGATTTCTGTTAGAGAGGTATGTGTTTAGATCAAAAGAATTAATGGACCGAATGAGCTGTGGATCAATATATATAAGCTAGGTAGCTTGAAAGTTTTATTGTATTATATAGGACACTTCCTTGGTTAATATTTACCAGTGTACTTTGCCTATGTTTTCATCGATGATTTGGTGCATGTTTTAGGTACTCTCAACCCTAATACTAATACAATGGCCGAAGCCTATAAAACTCCGAATCCTCTCAGATTCCTCGAAGCTTTTTGGAGTTTCACATCTTCCAACCATCTACGGTCTGATTATATAATCATAATCCAATCACCTTACTATTTGATAATTAAGTTTATTTATCCGATCAATCTATAAATAATCATTACCTTAGTACTAAGGGTCAAGGCTGGATAAGAGAGAATACTCTTTCTTCTGATCTCATTCTCTCAAATGATTATTCATCTTCTCCAGTTCGCTTGTTTTCTCTTTTATCTCACCTGAGCAGTTGTCGGTAACATTCTGTCCAGATCGGAAGAAAAAAATTGTCACCATAATCTTATTTCTATCATCAACAATATCCATTTTATGATTTTTATTTTGGAATTTATAATTATTTCTTCCAACAATCTCATCAAAAATCAGACTTAGCGTTTTCTTTTTGCGAGTGTAAAAGAAGTGTTGCATTGTTTTCTTATTGTGTGTGTAAAAGAAGTGTTTACATTCCACGGCTTTTCCTTATTTCAGTTGAAGAGACATCCATGCGGAACCTTTCAGCAGGCATTGGGACAAACATATCTTTCAATACTTCAGGAACATCAAAATCCTCGAGAACCTGCCCCAATATTAAAAAAAGAACATGAGGACTGAAATCTCAGAACAATAAAAGAGGGGGCTAAAATTTATGATTTGGATAAATAATATGAACGTGTATGTGTTTTAACCATCCTGACATTTGGCATACTCATTAACATTACGACCGGCCACGATGAAGATGCATCCTGTTCTTTTACATCCAGATAGTGTCTCTATCATCCTATGATAGCTCCCGTCATAGTATTTAGGCTGCCAAAGTAAGATAAATAGCAAAACTCAACATATCATTCAACGCACCCAACACTAGTACATGTTGCACCAAAATGGATGTATAACCCTGGCCTGAATACACTCATCATTAATCATTTAAGTCACTAGTTATTGTGTCCATGTGCGTGCGTATACAAAGCAGCCAAATCCAATCATGATTAGCATACGGATGACCAACATCAATATTCATGGATAGCAGAGGGAAGCAGTATCACAACCTGAACATCCAGTTCTGTTTTATTACTCTATTTGATACTGCAATATCTGACCCTAAACCATGCCAGAGGAACGATTATGAATAAAGTTTGATGCAATATTTTCATTGAATCATATATCTCTCATACCCAATTAAGCATACAAGGCAAGTAGACATTTTATCTTTCCCTGTTTTCAAAGCTACAAAGTTTATAGCCAGTCTTTTGATGAGAAACTCTTAAAATGTATAATTATGCAAATAACCATTCCATGCCTCTAATATTTTCTTCTTCACCAGGAGCAACAGCTAGACAACGCTATGGGGTACTTTTCTTCTCATCAAAGTAGCAGTAATTATACTTGAAACTTCTAGCATTATTTTTCTCCAAAAGTTTTTCAAAAATAAGTTCATCGTAAAAGAATTTTGAATGATGTTTTAGAATGTGTACACATTTCCATATTTTAGTAGAAAACAAAAAATAACCCCAATGACTCAAAAGGTAGCTAATTCAACAAGTCATCTATAGGAAAGGGAATGGAAACTTAAGCTGTGTTCAAGATAATGCAAAATCCATCTTCTCTATATTGTTTTATATAGCTCAAATATGCATATAAGAAAATTTAGTTTTCCCTTAATAGTCAGGTCTTGCACCTTAATTATCAGAATAGACACATTATACTGATGTTATAACTTAGAAGGAGCATTATTCTTCATGAAGATCTCAACTGAAAAACTAGCATAAATATTTTAACATAAATTTTGAACTTTAAACCCGTCTATGAAACTATATCTAACAAACTTATCAAAAAAGATCCTGATATAATGTCATAATTTTAAAGGAATTAGAAATGACGTACATTAATAAGCCTCGCTACGGTGTCAGCACCAATTACAAAAACACTACCGGGAAAAAGTTCAGTTTTCTTATAGAAATAAGGCTGATTGCAAACTATTACCGACTTTCCTGCCATTAGAGAAACACAAGCCTCTTATTAGTTATTATAGAAGTTGTAAAATCAAAATGGTAGCAGTTAGGGAACCCTGCAAAAATCGTATATGGATCAAGGAAACCAACTACCATTAAAATGCATGCTATAAACTAACAAAATAAGCATAAACTCTAACAAAAACATCTAGCCTTTCCAATATGATTTCCTAACTCAAGGTCCATCCTCACTCCTACAAGCAATTATGTTTTTACCCCTTAGTATCACACAAACTTTTAACATTCAAGGAATCACAATTGCCACCGGATATACATTAAGACAATCAAATATTACAAAATTAAAGAGACCCACCAATTTTTTAAATTGCATAACTCGCTCTTTGATTTGTAGTACTGACAATGGAGGTTTGTCAGCATTAATGGCAGATAATTCAAAGCAAGGATATCCATCACCACAAATGCTGCATCGTTGAACCTTTAATGAGTAACTTATCATGTATGGCCAAAAGGAATCTCACTAAATAGGCAAAAATGAGTGTTGGAATGCATACTAAAGAAGGCAGAAATGAGACGCGTATTAGATCTTTGATCTTTAAACTTTAACAGGCTCCACAACAGCAAAATTCACCTTTCCTTTCATAGCATATATGCACAGCTCTATAAGGTTCATTTTGGAGACTACACAGAATAGTGCATATCCACTAGAAAGCAAGAACCAGTTCAATGCAAATGGCATCTGAATTATAAATAGACAGCCCTTTAAAGTTCGCTTCAGAGACCACAAGAAGTAGGCAAGTCCAGTTGCCAACAAGGACCAGTTTGATGAAAATGATCAAAAGCATCTAATTTCTAAAACAAATGAGATAATGAAATAAATCATAACCACGTTAACACTTCCGGAAATTTAAGTTACTAAAACACATTCACAAACCTGGTGGCAACTTCCAAGAGCTTGAGGTGACCATCATGTAACGGATTAAAGGATCCAGAGAGTATAATCTTCCTATCACCGTTTGACTTATCTGTCTGAGCAAAGCAGTTTCCATACTGTAAATAACAGATCAAAGATATAATTAAAAAAAAAAGAACAAAAAGGTGTCATACTCAAATTGTAAATGGGATTTAATTCAGAAGACGTTCAAACCTACCGCTTGTAAACAGATAAACCTTAAAGCAAATTTGCCCATTTATAAGTTGCTCTAACTCCTGATCTTCATCAAAGAACTTTCACGTTCATCAGCAACATCAGATTCAGTCAACGCTGAACCAAATCGGGGGACTTTGCAGGCATTAGCGATCGCCTATAGAAACATTATTGAACGTGTTAAACCTACAATATATGTTGGAAAAGAAATAAAACTGCAGTATTTGTCGAGAGATGCAACATGACAGTCAACAACTCAAAAACCATCAGAAACTTTCCCTTTTCTATCTTTCCAAGATATTTTAAGCGTCACTAATTTATAACAAAAAAATTTAGTGGACAAAAAAAGCAATTAGTAATAGAGACATAACATTAAATAAAGCAGATGTACATATCACACACCTTAAGTAGGAAGTAACTTGAAACCTTTTCTTCTTGATCTCGACTCCTCAAGCCCTAGATTACTCCGTATCAGATATGAGAAATGCAAATACAGTGCCCAAGAACAAATTTTTACATAAAAATAAATAATCAAATGTTAATTTCCTTTGATAGGGTAACTGTAGATGCCCAATGTCGATCAGAGGTTCTTGTTGGCAAGTGAAACCTACACATCGAGAAAAGGGTAACTAATAATCACTTTGCAAACAAGTAAAAACTGCAGCCTCCATGCATAAGATTCAAGCATTTCCATGTGGAACTTTGAGGAAATCAAACAGTTACTTCTTTCGAGTCTAAAAAAGGCATTTTCCTTATATGATTATATTTTTATGTGTGAATTATTGCCTCAAAGACTTTCAAACAATCCGTTGCACTCTTGACAAAATTGAATGAAGCCACTAACATTCTGAATGATTGGCCATTTGTGTGGTTTTTATGTTTTTCTTGATTGGTTTCAGTTACTTGTGACCAAAACTTAATATCAAACCAAGCAGCAAGGGCAAGTCAAAAGACCATTGTTACAAGGTACAACTTAGGAAAACATTATTCAATCAGAAATAGTTAAATCACTTAACCAAACTGCAAATGGGTCATTACATATCAGTTAACCAAAGGTAGATTTGAAGAAACATACCTATGGTTACCCAGTTTTGGACGGGAGGTAGCCAAAGAACCAGTAAAGCCGACACCAAGAACTGGAGAACCTATTCAGATAGTTGAATATAACCCATGTCATACAAACTGGCCAGAACCCAAACAATTAAAGAAGTAAAGCCTGTTCACTTTTGCAGCTATATTCCAATTCCCTCAACTATTTTACTCCTAATATATTTGTCGTAACCGTCTTTCAGTTGAGCCCCGAAATTGGGCTTCGACTTGAAAAATGTGGATTGGAGTCGCCACCGATCTTTTATTTTAAAACAAATAGGTAGATCGAATACCTTATTTCTTACCTGATCTGCGTTTTACCAGAGACGTGTCGGATTCGGGAGTCGGTTACAGTCAAGGAAGGGTTAGCACCCTTGAACTGCCCTTTTGGTACTACGTAATTTCCAGTTGTCTTAATTACGAAAATTTGAAATTTAAAAGACCCGATTCAAATTACTTACCTCCGATAGATTTAAAATTGTACCCTTAAGAAGATAAAAAAATGGAAATAAATAAAATAAACAAAGTAAAAAAAAAATTTATGGAAAAATGAAATTAAACATATATATATATATATATATATATAATAAGGGTTAGTGGCAAAATCTTTCACGTGATAGCAAAACACATTATTAGTGCATGGGATAATAGCAAAACCCATTACATCACCTTGTGGAGTGATAAGACTAGAGCCATAATCACGTGGGTGTAAGCTAGACTTTTCTTGGTCTCTGTGCAATGTTTGTAATTGCATGCAAACTCTTTATGCACCATTAATAATAGGTAAATTAACACCCACTCTACACGAAGCTTGGTCAGTATCATGAACACCATCGTCTTGCTTGCCCAGCCGCACTACTCCGGTCCGGGAGAAAGAACTACGCCGATCTTGTTTTCTTTTACCTGACTCGCAATAGCCTCAGCAATTGAATCCGCATCTTCGCTCTCGGCTTGATCGGATTCCGACGATACAGCAGCAAACTCCAGGCTTGGAGCGACGGCGCTTTTCCTCCGTTTGGAGGTTTTCTCGATCTCCTCGCTGATCTTTTCGGCCATACCCTACAACGGATGTTATTCACGTAAATCTTGTGGCTGCCTCTTCGAGTTTCATGGTGGGTAATGCATCAACGTTCATTCTCCTCATCTTTTGGTCTTTAATCTCTATCTGTGAGCTTCTTCATCCGGGTTTGGACTTCGGATTTCTTCGCTTTGTTCTAAATTCGCCTCTTCTCAGCTTGTCGAGCCCACTTGGCAGCCAAACCAGCCTTCTTCTTTGGTGCAGCCTCACAAATAACCAAGGAACGATGAATTCGATTTCCCTCTAGTCCGTTTGTGTTACATCTTATTTATAATAAAAAAACCCTATTTTAAGACTCTTATTGAAACTAGAATCCTAATACTCGTTGGTTTCCTTGGTTGTTGATGTAGGCGTCGAGAATGGTGGGTTTGTTGCGTGAGAAACGGTCGTGCAAAATGCGACGCTGGTGGAGAAACTACTAAGGTTTCTGATGGTTTGCTGCACACGTGAGGTATGGGCCTGCACAATTCAAATGATAAAATTAATAATATTATATATATATATATATATAATTATATAATACAATAATATTACTAATAAAATGACAAAAATTAGGTGTCTACAGTTGCCCCTCTTTGTCCTTTTTCGTGGAACAAAAAATAGGGCAAAGACAAAAGGACACAAATTTTCGTTCGTGGAGTTGAAAAATTGACTCTGATAAATTAAGAATAACTCCCTGTCGAATTGTGTTGCAGATGGCTTCTTCGTCGCGAAGTCGAGTCCATCTTGAAATGACATTGAATTGAAGTCGTAGTTCGGAATTTGAATCAGAATGTGGCTTATCGCTGCCAAACTGTAGTCAACTTCGGTCTTCTTCTTGGTTTAAAGACCTTGGTTAAAAAATTCGTCTGGAAAGTAGTTTCTTGACTCCAACGCGTGGTTGATAGGCCCTCGAGCTGAATGAAACGGTTCAGATGATGCTTCAGGAGAAGTTGCCTCAAAAGAGACAAAATTCGTTTCAAGGGAAACGATCTCAGAAATATTTGTTGTTTCATGAGAAACGGTCTCAAGGGAAACAAAATTTTGTTTTATGGGAAATAAATTCAAATATTTTGTGTTTCAAGAGAAACTATCTCAAGGGTTTTGTGTTTCAAGAGAAACATTTTCAAAGGTTTTTTTTGTGTGTTTCAAGAGAAACAATTTCAAAGGTTGTGTTTCAAGGGAAACTGTCTCAAGAGAGACAAAATTTGTTTCAAGGGAAACTGTCTCAAGAGAGACTAAACTTGTTTCAAGGGAAACTGTCTCAAGAGAGACAAAACTTGTTTGAAGGGAAACTGTCTCAAGAGAGACAATGGTGAGCACGATTCTCTTCGTCGTGAAGTTGAAACCGTGGGTGGCCCCTTCGCCGTGAAGTTGAGCCAGGAATTGGATATCCTTCATCGTAAAGTTGAAATCCAAGTAAGTTGTATTGTTCAGAGTCCAATATCCTCCGCCGTGAAGTTGAAATTGGCTCTGGAACTGGGAAATTGTTTGTTAACAACCAGCTGTCCCTTCGCTGTGAAGTTGAAATTGTGTTGTCTCGAGTCCAATATTCTTCATTGTGAAGTTAAAATTGGCTCTGAAACTGGGAAGCCCTTTCGTCGTGAAGTTGAGCCTCAAAATGGCACGATATCCTCCGTCGTGGAGTTGAAATCGTGGATGTGTGGGTACGATATCCTCCGTCGTGGAGTTGAAATCGTAGATGTGTGGGTACGATATCCTCCGTCGTGGAGTTAAAATCGCGAATGGCCCCTTCTCCGTGAAGTTGAGCCTTGACTTGAATATATTTCGTCGTGAAGTTGAAATCCAAGTATTGTATGTTGCGGGTGGACACGATTCCCTTCACCGTGAAGTTGAAACCGTGGAGACCCATTTATTATGAAGTTTGGCTTCGAGCTAGATATCCATCGTTGTGAAGTTGAAATCTACTCTCGAGCAAATTGTGTCGTTTCGAGAGAAACTGTCTCAAGGGAGACAAAACTTGTTTCAAGGAAAACATATTCAAAGATTTTTTTTCAAGGGAAACTGTCTCAAGAGAGACAAAATTTGTTTCAAGGGAAACTATCTCAAGCGAGATAAAATCTTCTAGTGAAAACGGTCTCAAGCGAGACAAATCTTGTTTTAAGAAAAACAATCTTGAGTGAAATAAATCTTCTTTCGAGTAAAACAGTCTCAAGTGAGACAAAGTCTGTTTTAAAAAAACAATCTCAAGTGAGATAATCATCTGCATTAAATGAGACTGTCTCAAGAGAGACAAAATTTATATTGAAAATGTCAAATCTGAAGATGAATGTCGATCTTTCAATCTGTCGAGTTGGTTGAAGTGTAGCTTCTTGCTGCTGAGTTAAGCAACCAACATCAATCTTCAAAGGTGCTTTTGAATCGAGTATCATTCGTCTTGAAATCGAAACTTGACTCTAAAAGCTGCAAAAATAATGTATGTGAAAAAAAATGATACTTTAAAATGTATGCATAAGATGCATGTAACATGGATTGGTTATATTTTATCTCCTGAAAAAGGTCTGATAATTCGCATTAGGATGTTGAATCTTCAAAGATGCCCCAAATGTTCCTCATTTCTTGCTTCAGCATTGATTCCAAGCATGAGTTTTGTGTCTAAGAGTCACATGCCATTTACCAAGATCCACTCTAGAGAGACTGTCTTGTTTGAGAAAAAAAATGTTTTTCTTTCTCTTTTACTTTCAAAGTCCTGAAAATATCAAAAAGAGTTTCAAAAAATATTTAATCAAGAGTTTTGAAAATATTGCCCCTTTCACGGTTTTACAATTGAGACGAATCATAAAACTAGAGTTCATTGGATATCAAAGAATTAATTACAATGTTAATCCTTCAATAAATTATAGCTATTTGAAAAGTGCCAAGATCAAAGCTATCTTTGGGAAATGGTTAAGTAAGGAAAGGATAAAAAGTCTCAAGTTATTGTGTTTGGTCAAAGGTTTGGCATTTGATGCTTGAAGGTTTGGCATTTGATGCTTCAAAGGTTTGATGGGGTGGCCTGCATGCTCCTATTCTGGAAGTGTTCTCTGACTCCCAACCTTCGTTGTCACACTCGGATTGTGCGATGCCTTATCAAGGAATTTGTGTGATCGCCTCAGTTGCACAATTTTTATATTCGAGCCACCTTTTCAGGTTTTCAACTCGAATCCTCCTTTGGTTTCAAGACGTTATTCAGGATTTACGTCTTGAACCCCCCTTTGTTATTTTTCTCTACCATGCATTAATTACATTGTTTTTTGCAAATAAAGATTAATCCTTATGGGCGGGATGAAATCTGAAGATAATCTCTTCTGTTCAGAACTTCATGTATGATTAGAAGGGACTTTTAAGGCACGTAATGTAGGCCAGGGTTCATGGTTATGAAAGAAAAGGATAAATAGGCCCAAACAAGTGTTTCAGGGTGTTGAACCAAGGATCAATTCGTTCTGATGCCTTTAATCTTGTCTTGCTCAAAATGTCTCTTTCTCTTGATGCTCAATGATCTTCGAGTGAAGTGATTAAGTGATTCGGGAATGATTATGCTTGATCAATCTCATAGTTTGAAGCTTGATGTGCCATTTGTCTTTAGGAAATCTTTGCATGTGCTTTTTGTCCCTTTTTCTTTTTGATTTTTGTTCTTTCTTTTTTTCTTTGCTTTTTCTTTGTTTTTTTTCTCTTTTTTCTTTTGTTCTGATTGGATCTTCGCACTTGGCATTTGGTATCTCCTTTGGATTGATGTCTTCACTCATGTGAGCAGATTTCTTCCACCTTGCCCTCCAGTGTGGAGGGTGATCCTTGGTTAGGGTTAAATCAGAAGAAAAAAAACTATAGGCTCAAAAGGGGACACAAGGGATATATTTTTTCCTGTTGTGAAGGGATAAAAAAAGAAAGCCGTTCATCATTTCATACATGTAAGTCTTCACATAAGAGGTATCCCCAGGGGGATAGATTTTCAGGATTAATTCTATTCACATGACAACAGTGTAATTAATGCATAATAGAATTATTTCGAATGAATTTTTCTTCTTTTTTCCCCCCAGATGTCTCAATGTTCAGGCTCCCGGCGAGATGCCCCAAGTTGTGTCTTTAGAAGAATGCTCATGTTCAAGTGAACAACTCAATGCCTTGAGTTTTAAAATGTCAATTTTGAGTCTAAAAAGACAATGGTGTGACTTTATTTGACTCAAAGAAAGGTATGAGTGTATCAAAAAGATAAAGACAATGTCCAAGAATTTCAAAGGGAGGTAATGTCAAAATTTGGTCTTTTTGGTACTGACCATGAGTTATTTTGGGTAAAGAATCAAGGTATTTTATTTTGGGGTTTGAGACAGGATAAGAAAGGCCTAATCTTGTCATATGTCAAAAATCTATAATTCTGGAAGAATTAAAAGAATATTTAATTCATCTAATATTCGAAGAACTAAAGATTAAAATTTGTTCAATTGCTCCACCTTAAAAAGTAGCATAAATTCAGCCGTTTAAAAGATTAAACAAACATGAAAGATCAAAGACGTGTTCAAACAAAACAATGCTCTAAGTGCAAATGGTATATACTATGCCCCCTTCTTCGGCTGTCCATGCCCCTGAATCCATCAGGGTTTGGATCTTGCGCTTCAGTGCCTTACAATTTTCAGAGGAATGTTTGGGGCATCCTATGTGGCAACTGCAAACAGCTTCAACATCGTAGCCCTTAGGATATGTGGACTATTTTCTCAGATCATCTTGGCAGGCTTATTCGTACAACCAGCTGATCGGGCTCATTCATTGTGATTTCAGTTTTTTGATGATGTTACAATCTTGCTTCCATGTGGTGTCATGTGGTTAAAACCACTTCATCGAATTCTCCATAAAGAAATTCCATGTTTATGAAAATGCTTAAAAAATGAAATGTAGATGCAAAATGCAAAAATGCATGAAATGTTCGAGGTATTGATCCAAAAACATGTTTGTTATTGTAAATAACCTTAATTGGGACAAAAATGTTTTATCTTTTAAGAGACAATAAACATATTTAAAGGTACATTCGGACTAAATCCTCTAGACCCGGAACAAGTTGACTAGTCATTTGCCTTCGTCTTTCACCGGTTGAATAACCTGTCGAACCGCTCCGGCCTCTCTGGATGAACCGTGAAAATGTTGAATTATTTTTTGTACTGGTTCCCAAAAAGTGTCGAATGACTGCATCTCTGGCTTTCATCATTTGTTGAATCATAAATTCCATTGAAATCCTCTATCAAAGGGATTATCCGAAGTTCATTTGTTTGTTTCTTGAATTTGTCGACAGTGAATCGCCATCTTGTTCTTGTTGTCTTTGAATGGACTCTCGAGGTCAGTAACCTTTTTCTCGTCTTGCCTCTGTCACCTTTGTCAACCAATTTTTGAAAAGTTAACTTTTGATGTACTTGATTGTGGGCACCATGTCTTCTTGATCGAATGTGACACATAGTTGTCTTGCAAATTGTCCTCATTTTCTTTCTGAGTCTTTTCTGACCATAGCCGGACCCCTGCGTTTTTCATCTCTTGTATTACAACCCCTTTGTCCATTAATGCAAATTATTTATGGTTAACGAACACGTTTTTTTGTGGATCAACACCTCTTTTGAATGATGCAGATGATGGAAATAAAATAAAAGAGAGAAAAATTGAAAAGAGTTAGTAAGATAAAGATAATAATAATGAAAATAAAAGGACCTACCCCACATGATATCTACCCCACATGCTTTAATTCATACCCGGACATGATCTCTATCTCGCATGCTAATTCCACACAAATCCTAACCGCATATTTGTCTAGTTCGCATGCTTTGAACAGAAAGTAAAGCATGAAACAAAGCAGCCTAGGGTTTGGAATGAGGTTTTGGGGTGGGCTCTAATTCTCCATAGCCTCCCGGTTTAGGTTCTAAAAAACGGGATCCGAGTTCTCCTTGTCGGTGCCCCCATGGGTTTACCAGACCCTTAGTCCTAAGCCCATTACAAGCTTATGTGGACTAAGTTAAACTCGAGAGGAAACATTCCCTTATGCCCGCACGGTGAATAAATTCACACGAAGACATAAGGTATATGAATCCCGAAGGCTACTTGCTAGGCCCACACGGTGAATAAATTCACACAAAGGCGTCGCTTTCACCCTCACTTAAAACGGGTTCGGAGCTCGGGTATAGAGCCTTTAGATGAAAACTTTTTCAAAAATCTGAAATCATTGAAAAAACGTCAGTACAAGTATTTACTTGAAAAAAAAATCAAAGATAAATAATTGGAATCGAATAAATAAATTAAAATTTAAACTTGTAATTTTCGCTAAAAAAGACAACCGAAAATTAATTTCGGCCTGACTCACTTACCTGTCCCCAGCGGAGTCGCCAAGCTGTCGTAACCGTCTTTCAGTTGGGCCCCGGAATTGGGCTTCGACTTGAAAAATGTGGATTGGAGTCGCCACCGATCTTTTATTTTAAAACAAATAGGTAGATTGGATACCTTATTTCTTACCTGATCTGCGTTTTACCAGAGACATGTCGGATTCGGGAGTCGGTTACAGTCAAGGAAGGGTTAACACCCTTAAACTGCCCTTTCGGTACTACGTAATTTCCAGTTGTCTTAATTACGAAAATTTGAAATTTAAATTTAAATTTAAAAGACCCGATTCAAATTACTTACCTCCGATAGATTTAAAATTGTACCCTTAAGAAGATAAAAAATGGAAATAAATAAAATAAAGAAAGTAAAAAAAGAAAATTTATGGAAAAATGAAATTAAACATATATATATATAAAGGTTAGTGGCAAAATCTTTCACGTGATAGCAAAACACATTATTAGTGCATGGGATAATAGCAAAACCCATTACATCACCTTGTGGAGTGATAAGGCTAGAGCCATAATCACGTGGGTGTAAGCTAGACTTTTCTTGGTCTCTGTGCAATATTTGTAATTGCATGCAAACTCTTTATGCACCATTAATAATAGGTAAATTAACACCCACTCTACACGAAGCTTGGTCAGTATCATGAACACCATCGTCTTGCTTGCTCAGCCGCACTACTCCGATCCGGGAGAAAGAACTACGCCGATCTTGTTTTCTTTTACCTGACTCGCAATAGCCTCAGCAATTGAATCCGCATCTTCGCTCTCGGCTTGATCGGATTCCGACGATACAGCAGCAGACTCCAGGCTTGGAGCGACGGCGCTTTTCCTCCGTTTGGAGGTTTTCTCGATCTCCTCGCTGATCTTCTCGGCCATACCCTACAACGGATGTTATTCACGTAAATCTTGTGGCTGCCTCTTCGAGTTTCATGGTGGGTAATGCATCAACGTTCATTCTCCTCATCTTTTGGTCTTTAATCTCTATCTGTGAGCTTCTTCATCCGGGTTTGGACTTCGGATTTCTTCGCTTTGTTCTAAATTCGCCTCTTCTCAGCTTGTCGAGCCCACTTGGCAGCCAAACCAGCCTTCTTCTTTGGTGCAGCCTCACAAATAACCAAGGAACGATGAATTCGGTTTCCCTCTAGTCCGTTTTGTGTTACATCTTATTTATAATAAAAAAAAACCCTATTTTAAGACTCCTATTGAAACTAGAATCCTAATACTCGTTGGTTTCCTTGGTTGTTGATGTAGGCGTCGAGAATGGTGGGTTTGTTGCGTGAGAAACGGTCGTGCAAAATGCGGCGCTGGTGGAGAAACTGCTAAGGTTTCTGATGGTTTTCTGCACACGTGAGGTATGGGCCTGCACAATTCAAATGATAAAATTAATAATATTATATATATATAATTATATAATACAATAATATTACTAATAAAATGACGAAAATTAGGTGTCTACAATATTCAATAACATATGGTAAATAACTAGTTAAGGAAATTGATAAGGATTCCGAAATTCAACAGAATAATTTAAAATCAGTGTGCAGTCTTCTAGAAAACAAGCATCTCCCAACTTACAAAATTTCCAATTTTATTATTGATCATACATAGAGTGAAAGTTGGAATAGATAATAAAAGCAGTTCCAAAGCTAGATGGAGCTTTATGTTTTACAATCTTTTCATTTCAAATTAATAATTGAAAATAAAGCAAAACCAAAATGTGAACTTTAGAACCTTGAGAAGAAAGCTCAGCGCGCGACTATAAGCAAGCAAGGCCAATTCATCGGCAGTTTGTTGGCTACAATACTGGGCAGGGATCTGCGCCGAAAAATCTGATTTACTAATTATTATTTTAAATTAAAAGATGGAATTTCAAATTAAAGAAGAAGAAGAGAACCTTGTTGAGTAATTGGATCATGGACATTCTGGAGTATGGAACAACAGATTCTAGAACTGTATTTGAAGCTCCAGGAACTGACATTAACAACCCTAAGGCCTGCTCAAATTGTTGATTAATCAATGTAGTCAGTGATGATTATCATTCAGAATAAAATCTTTATTTAGAATGAAAGAAAAGAAATAATTGTGCAGATAGAGGGAGAAACTAGAAAGGCGCCGCCGGAGAGATAGAGGACGGCCTGTGTGGAGAAGAGTGGATAGATTCGACCACCGCTCTTATGCAAGCGTCTGTCTTTTTTGTGATTCACAGTTCGTCTCCCCTCTCTCTCTCTCTCTGTCTAGGTATTAAAACATACCAAAACTAATAATTTAAGTATTAAAATAATTTATCCTAGAATTTATCTCGGGTAATTTGTTTTCATATAATTGAAACCCTTCTTACTATTCAATTCATTTCATCTACCTGGTATGTTTGAAATCGTAACTCATTGTAAATTATTCGAAGTGTATACTTGGATATTATTTGACAAAATCTAATCCTAAACATGATGCCTCAGCTAACACATGCATGCCCCTCCAAAACACGACATTAAGATGATGTTCACGTACACATATTGACATTTATCACGTTGAGGAAAATTGAGGAAGCCACGTGATCCTTTGTCTTTGTTCTCAACAAGACTCGTCTTGTACAGATGTGTTTGTAGTTGGCTTTGGGCAGCACCAACACAACAAATTGTAAATGATAAGATTGCAATGGAAGTCGGGTGTTTTTATTTTTTAAGGCTATTTTTATGAGGCTGTAAAGCTAGGTCGATCGATTGTTTTCTTTGCCATTTTTAGTTTCTGACCTGCTGCCTCTTTGGTTCTTTCAGGTTTTTTTTTAATCCTTTTTGTTTGCCTCTCGTGTCGATTTGTGTCGGACTTACTGACCCTTTCCTTTGCTGGGTCTTTCCAGGCCTTTTTGTTTGCTTTTTAGCCTTGGGAAATTGGATCTTTGTAAAGGGTTTTCCTAGCCCATCCCGTTGTATTCCTCTTCTATTTTTAATGCACTTTTATTTTCATATTAAAAAATTGTTACTAATATTTAAAGATTAAAATGTTATTAACAGAGTTGGTTCAAATGGTATGCAGCTTGTTACAGTTTAAGTAGGTCTTGAGTTTGAGTCCTTGTGTATGAAAAAAATCTTTACTAAAAAATTCACATATCAAAATTAAGTATGTGATACGATAAAACAACCCACAAAAAACTGTTATCGGATGATCCATTGAGTAGTTTTAATGATAAAAATTATTTTTTATAAAAAAAAATTAGGGTGGTTGAATACATGTATTTTAAAAACATGAGAGGGGACCAATATCACAACTTTACCTTTGTTTTTTACTTTTTAGCTGAGCATAATTATATGGAAACCAGGTCATGATCAAATTCTTTTTTTCATGCTTCTTTCCAACGCAGCTCGAAAAAGCTTTATAAGGAAGTGGGGTTCAGCCTCAGAGTGGTGAGCCCACACTGGCAAACGGCTACCTCGTCTCCACTCTAACCTAATTTCACATGCCAATTTATCTTCCATTCCCCTAAATGAAAACTCGCGATAAATTGAATGAGAAATCAGCTGAGTTGTTGAGCTGACCTGGTAAAAAATAATCTTAGTGACCGAAAATCTCTTATAATATACGATTTTAATCAATTTTTTTGGATTTGTCAAAATGACCAACAAAATCGTAATGAGATATTTAAATCGCAACGCGATCTTCAGTATCGCAAATAAGTTTTCAGATTCGCAACGCGAATTTGGAAAATCACAATGCGATTCTGACTATCGCAATGTGATAGTCCAAATTCGCGTTGCGATAGTCTAAAATCGTTACGATAGCACTGTTCACCGTTGCGATAGTATTATTTTTTCCTGTCCAGAAGGATGAAAAAAGCTTCAAACTTGTGATTTTTTTGTTTGAATTCTCTTTATAAGGTTTTATGATAGAATATAATTTTTTTAAAAATAAAAATAAATTTTATAATGTTTATTTAGGACAAACTATAAATTTTAAATAATATAAAATTAAATAAATATAAATTTTAAATTATTTATGATATAATAGAATATAATTATTTATTTATATTTAATCTCTTAATTTTCTTTCTTTTAATTCACCGTTAATCTCTATTTCTTTCTTTCACTCTTTTTCTCTTCTTACGCTCGTAATATTTACATCGATCTGATCGCAAATAATTTAATTACAAATGATCTCTATTTCACATATTTAGTTTATAAATCTCTTTTATTTACAGATCAAGGATTTTAGTTTTCTTTGTGCAATAAGTCTCTTTAATTTCTTACAAAAATTGTTCAAGTTTTTATCTTATTTTGTACAAATTTTTATCTTGTTTTTGTAAATTTTTTCTTTTCAGTGTTATTTTTGTCACTTTTCGAATTATTAATGGATGCTCAAATATTTTTCAGCATATTAACTAATTTCAGATGATTCTTACCTGTCGTTGATCATCACAATATCTCTTTCTTCCTATATAAATTCATACACCATTAAAGAGAATTCAAACAAAAAAAATCACAAGTTTGAAGTTTTTTTACATCCTTCTGGATAGGAAACAACAATACTATCGCAAATTGTGAACAGTGTTATCGCAACGGTGAACAGTGCTATCGCAATAATTTTAGACTATCGCAACGCGAATTCGGACTATCGCAACGCGAATTTGGATTATCGCGTTGCTAATCTGAAAACTTATTTGCGATACTGGAGATCGCGTTGCGATTTAGAGATCATATTACGATTTTGTTAGTCATTTTGATAAATTAAATTTTTTTTTTGATTAAAATCGTATATTATAAGTGATTTTAGGTTACTGATATTATTTTCTCTAACTAATTTTACACGTGCACGACATTCGAGAGGCGTGCCTATTGGCCCCACTACTTAGGACACATCACGAGCGCGTCTTTCTCAATTTGGGGTTTCTTTTCTCCTTTTTTTGTTAGGCTTAGATGGCATGTCGAATCCTAGGCTTTTGTAAATCTTGTAAGAATAATAATTGATATAATAAATTTAGTTATTGGCATAGGTGTAGAATTTCAGTCAATTATATCCGCTCTAAATTTTACATCTTTCAATTCTATCCTACCTGATTCTAAAATTTTATATCATTTACCTGCTTAAATCTGATCAGATTTTTCGGATAAAATCTTGATTCGATATGAAATAATATATTTATTAAAAAAATATTATTTTTATTCATAAAATTAGAGATTTAATTTAAAAAATATATATATATGTATTATTATAATTATCTCTAAATATATAAATTAAAATTATATTTTTTAGTTAAATCGGATATTTTCACTATAAACCGAAACCCGACCAAATCAAAACACAACTTCTAAAAAACTTGACTCGAACCCTAATTTTAGTTTTTTAAATCAAATCTTACCGAGTCGAGTAAATCGAAATTCGTTATTTTCAGATCTTATGTCAATCCCTAAACTAATAATGTCAATCAATTCTTATTCCTAATATGACGTATGTTCATTTAATTTTAAAAGTAAATTTTAAATTTATTAGTTCCTACTATTTAAAAAAAAAGTAAAACAATGTTTCAAAATCTATTAAAAACAAAAAAAAGTATTGAAATTTGAAAATTATAAAAATTTATTTACAAATTAATAATATTTTAAAATTGTCATTTAACAATATTATGATGTAATATATGATTTAATCTAAATATTACTACATTCAACAAAACATTAACCAAAAAGATAAATTAATACTATTCAAAAAAATATAAATTAATAAATTTATAAGATATAAAAAAATTAATTAGATGAAAAAAGTAAAATTTCGTTTATTTTTAATTTTGAAGTTTCATAACTTTTAGCAGCTTAAACCTTAAAAATACTAATTAAAAGTTCTATAAAAAAATTAACTTATTAAGTGGTTTTGATAATTAAAAGAAAATGTTATTTTCTTTAATATCTTATATAAATGTTATATTCTTTAAGATCTTAGGTTTAAATAGTTAGATTTAGGTTGTAAATGAGATGAGACATATCGTGAGTTACTCAAGATCGACTCAATCAAAGCTCGATAAATACTTGACTCGAATGGACTCGACTTGAGTTTGTAACAAGCCGAAATGAGTTACTTAATACTTAACTCGAAAAGCTCGTGGGCAGCTCAAAAATATAATATATTAAGATTTTATTTTTTAAAAATAAATTATTAATAATATTAACATTTATGTGTTGATATTTTAAAAAAAATGTAGTATAAGATTTTCTTATATTTAAGGTTCGAGTTTCATTTTGAGACTTCAATCGAGTTAAGTTTAAGTTTTTTTTTCATTTAGAGCTTCTACGAGCTTCAATTTATGGTTTTGAGTTCGAGTATAACTTGAATAATTTAGGCTCGTGAGTTTTCAAATCGATGCGAGTTTTATTTTAGAGTTTTTAAGTAGAGTTAAACTCATCAATACTCTAACTTAAATAGTTTATTTATAACCCTATTAGATCTATAGAATATATATACATCATTAGTGATTAAAAAATTATAAATAAATATTATTTTATAGTTAACTTGTACTAAAAAAATCCATAAAAAAAATTGTGAGTTTATTGAGGATGAAAATAGAATGGAAAGCAGAAACAGAGCATAATCATAATACATGTATCCTTAACGGTTAATGAGGAATGTGGAGTTAATGATGATCTCCCCCTGACTCAAGCTCTCTGCTATGATATTTTTTTATTTATTCCGTACAGTCGTCTTAATATAATGTTAAAGAAATACGTTATCGAAAATATTATTTTTAATATTTTCGATAAAAAATTATCTAAAATATTAATGTTTTTCATTAGCAATAATAATGTTATCAAACCAGATAAAGCGTCCAATAATAACATTTCCAGTCGAAATAATAATGTTTTAGATAATTTTTTACCGAAAATATTAAAAAAATAATAACATTTCCGATAACGTCTTTCATTAACAATATATTAAACTGTCGCATGTGATACTTCCACTAATCTACTCCCTTTTTTCCCCACTTGTATCAACAAAGAGTAATTACCTTTTATTAATTATTTCATTAATTATAAAATAATGTTTATTCAAAACTTTATTAATTAGTGAATAATATATTATTTACGTAATTTTTAGTACTCTGATTTTTTTAAGTAAATAATATTTTTTAATTATTAAAATTATTTGATGAGTTTAGTGCAATTACTTTTCAAACTTGCAATTGTTACACTAATTGACGAAAGTTTCCTTGGAAAATATCATGATAAATTGCAACAAAAGCTAGAATGTATTAGCAGTATGGTTTTTACCAAAGTCTCACCAGCTTTCATCTATTTTCCTACTTACCCTAATAAAGTGAAAGTTTTTACTCTATTTTCCCAAGGTCTTGAGCTGAAAATCTTTACCATTCTTCGACGTTTAATATTGTCCTTTTCTTTCTTATCAGTACTAACGACCATACTCTCAATCTCTCTCTCCTCCTTCCTTCTTTATCTGTCTGTCTCCCTTTCTTTTGCGTCTCCATTACTCTCTCTTTCCAAGCTTTCTCCTTCATTACCTGGTTTATTTCCCCAGGTAGACGCAGAAGGTAAGGCCTTTGAACCCCCGAAGTTTTGCACTTTCCAACATTTCCCTCTCCCACGGCCATATATTCAGTTTCTCATTGTTTATGTGTAGATGTTTTGTTTGGTTGTGGTGGTTCTAGCTCTGTTGGACTTTCATGGAGGAGTGAGTGGTTTGAACAGTGAAGGGTATGCTCTTATTTCATTTAAGCAGTCCATTTACGAGGACCCTGAAGGGTCTCTAAGTAACTGGAACTCTTCTGATGACAACCCTTGTTCATGGAATGGGGTTACATGCAAGGAACAAAGAGTTGTTTCCGTTAGCATTCCGAAGAAGAAGCTCTATGGGTTTCTTCCTTCTTCTTTAGCTTCTTTATCTGATCTTCGCCATGTGAACTTGAGGAATAATAAATTCTCTGGGCTTTTGCCCGTTGAGCTCCTCGAAGCTCAGGGGTTGCAAAGTTTGGTTCTTTATGGGAATTCCTTCTCTGGGTCTTTGCCGAAAGATATAGGGAAGCTTAAGTATCTTCAAACATTAGCCTTGTCTGATAATTTATTCAATGGGTCATTACCTTCATCGATTATTCAGTGCAAGAGACTGAAGACCCTTGATCTCAGCAAGAACAATTTCACTGGTTCTTTGCCTGATGGGTTCGGAACTGGCTTGGTATCTCTTGAAAAACTTGATCTTTCTTTCAATAAGTTCATTGGCATGATTCCTAGTGACTTGGGAAATCTTTCTAGCTTGCAAGGAACTGTTGATTTGTCTCATAATCTTTTCGCAGGTTTGATTCCAGCTAGCCTTGGAAATCTTCCTGAGAAGGTTTACATTGATCTTACTTTTAACAATTTGAGTGGGCCAATACCCCAAACTGGTGCTCTAATGAACAGAGGACCGACAGCATTTCTAGGGAACCCCGGGCTTTGTGGCCCTCCTTTGAGAAACCCCTGCTCCTCGGATACTCCGGGTGCCAATTCGCCTTCTTCGTATCCGTTTCTGCCGAATAATTACCCACCTGGGATGTCGGATGATAATGAAGGTAAATACGAAAGAGGGAGAGGACTCGGTAAAGGAGCTGTCATTGCTATAATAGTGTGTGATATAATTGGAATATGCCTTGTTGGGTTGCTATTCTCCTTTTGTTATTTGAGGATCTGCCCGCGTAGCAAGAAGAAAGACGACCACGGTTATGGTTTCGAAAAGGGAAGGAAGGGAAAGGATTGCTTCTGCTTCAGAAAAGATGAATCCGAGACTTTATCGGATAACGTTGAGCAGTACGATCTTGTACCGCTGGATACGCAGGTGGCATTCGACTTGGATGAGCTGCTCAAAGCTTCTGCTTTTGTTCTGGGGAAGAGCGGGATCGGTATCGTGTACAAAGTCGTGCTTGAAGATGGGCTGTCCTTAGCAGTGAGAAGATTAGGTGAAGGAGGCTCTCAAAGGTTTAAGGAATTCCAGACAGAAGTAGAAGCAATCGGAAAGCTGAGGCATCCTAATATTGTTACACTAAGAGCTTACTATTGGTCGGTCGATGAGAAGCTTCTCATATATGATTACATGCCTAATGGAAGTCTTGCCACTGCATTGCACGGTATATTTCACCTAGCCTTCTTTCAGTACTATAATGGTCATATATCGGTATTGCTTTTCTTGTGTATCGATTTGTCTCTGTTTTCTTATTCTTATCAGGGAAGGCAGGAATGACATCGTTCACACCATTATCGTGGTCTGTTCGACTAAAAATCATCAAGGGTATAGCCAAAGGCTTGGTTTATCTGCATGAATTCAGCCCCAAAAAATATGTTCATGGAGATTTGAAGCCAAGCAATATATTACTTGACCAGAACATCGAAGCTCACATTTCTGATTTTGGACTTGGGCGACTTGCCAATATAGCCGGAGGGTCACCGACCGAACAATCTAATCGAATACCTTCAGAAAAACCACAGGAGAGACATCAAAAGAGTGCTTCCTTGGAAGCTAATCCCATTTACTCCTCGAACTTGGGATCTTATTACCAGGCTCCCGAAGCACTGAAAGTGGTAAAACCATCACAGAAGTGGGATGTGTACTCATACGGTGTAATCTTACTAGAAATGATCACAGGGAGATCACCTGTAGTTCATGTGGGTACCACTGAAATAGATCTTGTTCAGTGGATTCAGCTATGCATCGAAGAGAAGAAACCACTTTCGGATGTCTTAGATCCGTACTTAGCCCCGGATGCAGATAAAGAGGAGGAGATAATTGCGGTTCTGAAGATCACAATGGCTTGTGTGCATAGCAGCCCCGAAAAGAGACCAACCATGAGGCATGTCTTGGATGCTTTGGACAGGTCGATCACATCTCCCGATTGATCCCGATCAAAAGACAACCAATTAAACCCGAGAATGGTTTCAAGATTATGGTTAGTTCCACTTGAACCGAAACTATGTAGTGTTAACAACTGTGTTAGTGGAGAGAAACCATGCAATTGTTGCTCCAAAGCAAAACTGTCAATGTCTTTATTTTTTTCCCCTTAGGATTCCCTTGTTTGTTGACTAGGGCTAGGTGATGATAGGTCTGCTACAAAAGCTTCTGTTGAGTTTTTTTAACTGTGTTTGTGCCTTTGTATGAATTTGACCGTCTGTTATTACAGTGTATGTGATGGATGCTTTGTTCTTGCTCTTGTAGCAGACCCTTTTGTCACTTGTTTTTGTTGCTACAGTGTTGTTTGTATTGTCAATTCATGATCTTGAGCTATACATATTGTTGATCACAACACTAGTGACGGCCCTAGGCTATTAACATCTTCTAGTTTGGAGTGATCGGTAGACTTACGATCGATGACCCGTTGAAGATATCTCCAGGTAGGAAGTAAGGAAGAAAAAGAGGTCGAATCCTTTTCTCAGTTGACGGATTCTATATTCACTCTTAGTAATGGTGTAAAGTTGAGGGTTATGATGACTATTCCTAGTCTGCTAGGATCAATGAATATGATTTTCAGATAATATATTTGAGCTCGGATAGATTACGTGATCCTATCAGAGATAAATTCAATATACTGTTTATTTCCCGGAGATGTGGTATTCCGGGGACTTGGAAGAACTTTGGAGAATATCAATTGCTCCATAGGTCTCGATATATATGTACATAGTGTATGAATTCCCCAAGGCGCACCACGTTGGGGTCAATTAAGAGACAAAACCCAAGTCGTAAAGAGCCATCATTGGAATAAATGCAGAGTTGCTTATAAAGAATGACATGTGTTGGAGCTGCTTTTCATTTACTCTCCGGTCTCATTCACATCCAAAATGGACGTAAAGAGAGAGAGATGATTTAGTCGAAAATTGACAATTGAATATGCTTTTCACACATTCGGCCCCGCTGGATACAATGTGGATGCTTTGACTGATGCCGATGTGGGATATATCTGCATTTTAATCATGACTTGATAAAGTAGAGCTGTTGTTACAAACTAATGGTAGGTTAATTTATCCATGAAAACGCAATCCATCTCCCGGCGCGAATGAAGGGAATAAAACGAAATTTTTTAGACAAGAAGATAAACAGAAGCGAAGACTGATAGCTGTCCATTGGAACATAAAATGGCAGAGAATCTTGTCTGTTTTCTTGACTTTTAACCTTATCTTTCTTATCTGAATGTATTTCCTAAAGCAAGTCCACTCAGGCTATACTACCAGCCTTTACCCATCATTCGCTACTGTAGCACCTTCTTAATTTGAGCAATTATAGGCTTTTATCAATTAGACTACCTCTCCCTGAATTTAACCAAATCAATTTATTTATTTTTTTAGATTTCAAAAAAAAAAAAAATTAATTATACATTTGGTACCTAGTCAGGTATTTTTTTAGAGATGGTATTTAAAGATTTTTTTTACTCTTAAGTTGATACCTGAATTATGCACTTTCTTTCAAGTTAGTACTAAAAAAAATTTGCTCCCGAGTTTATAATCATATAAAAAAGTTTGATCAAACCAATTGATCAGTGGGTAGAAAGAGATACCGGTTGGTGTCCATTGATTTACTAAAACCGTTGAATTTGCTAATTTATTTCAGTATTGGAAGTTGATGAGTTAATATATTCTTAATTTTGTGACAATGGAATGGTGGGAATTTAAAGGAGCTATTTTGAAATTTGTTTTATGCTGGGTGTTAATGAATCGGATGATACCCATAATGACAGAGAAAAATGGATTTGTTAAACGGAGGGAAATTTCAAAATGTGTTTCTAGAGTTCATCGTACGATCTCCTCGACTTATATTATATGGTTGTTATTTTTTAAATCATTGTTTTTCGATTTATTGACCGGTTAACTTGGAGTAAATATTATAAAAATTAATGCGGGAGCAATTATTCTATTGTAGTTAGATCAATATTTCATCTCACTAAATTGATTAATTGTTGATGAATATTAGACGACTATTATTGGACAAAAGCTAAAGATTTATGATAACAATAACGATAGTAGTAATAAGAAGAATAGAAGAAAGATGAGGAAGACGAAGAAGCAAGAATGGAGTGGCCTTGTGGGGTTGGAATGATAAAAATTATGGTCGTATTCTTTGATCATGTTCTCGAAGTCTTCGTTGGTTGTAACGGAGATGAGAGAGTCGAGTTCTTCGGAGGGAAGCTGGTACTTGAGAGTAAATGGGCGGCCGTGGAGGAGAGAATGGGAGAGGCGGTGGTAGAGAGAAGTGAGGGTAGTGTGGCGGTCCACCACAACCATACGAGTGTCTCCGCCGGTGTAACTCAATGATTTATCGTGGGGACGAGGGAGGATAGTGCCGCCATAACTGCACATAAAGCGGAGCTTTGGGTGGACAGCAGGGGCAGGAGTTTGATCGTTCCATGAGTCCGTGTATCGGGAGCGTGGTGAGGAGCTGTTGGAATCTGGATAGGTGGCGGGGCGGCTGAAGTGTTGATAGCCGATGGAAGAGGCGGAGCCGCCATGTGCGGAGGAGGTGTGGTTTCCATTTCCGGATATATAGAGAGAGAGGAGCGGGAATAAGGTGGTGGAAATTTGGTTCTCTTGTTTATAGGTAAAAACTCAACATCTGGTTTTGCCTTTTGCCTCATGTTATTTTCCCTGCATATTTTTGTTTTAAAATAAAAATTATCAACTATTATTGAAGATCAATTTTAAAGTTTAATATTAATTAAACTTAAAACAATATTTTGGAAGTTATGTTTGAGATACTTTTTTAGGGGTGCCACATGATATGAACAATCTAGATAATCACGGCGGGCGACCACCGAAAGAAGGATCGGTCATCCCCGTTGTGCCTGCTAGAGAGAGGCATGCGTCCCCTCACCGATTGGAGAAACTAAGACAGGTTAAGAAAGGTAAGAGTGAAGTGTGTGTGAGCCGTACGTCGGATGACATTGTCGTAGAAACTGCTATGGACACCAACGTTGTTTATAACACCAATCCTGTTACTGGCGGTGGCCCAGTGATGACAGATGCTAATGGATGCGAAGGGGAGATCCCATCTGCGTAACCGGTCATTGAAAAAATAACGTATGCAAGCAAGGTGGTAGAATCATTGAATGAACATGAAGTGGGATCTATGGTTTCTAGTCTCATTAATGATGAAGTGTCAATAATGGAAGAGGACATAATCGTAGATCATTCTGGAGCAATACCGTCTATCCAATTCTCTAACAGAGTCCATGACCGGATCGATGCGAATGTGCGGAACGCTATAATTGTGATACTCATTGGTCGGACGATTGGTTACTAGACTTTGGTAAACCGTGTTCATGCATTATGGAAGCCTTGGGTAAGATACAAATAATTGATATGGACAATAATTATTTTCTGGCTAGGTTCTCTGATGCGAGCGACTATACAAAGGTCCTCACGGAAGGGCCATAGACTATCTATGGCAATTACTTGACGGTCCAGCCGTGGAGTAGGAACTTTTCGACTTCGGAGAAGCACCCGTCACAAGTGATAGTATGGGTTAGACTCCCGGATCTCTCATATAGATATTATACGAAGGCGTTGTTTAGACATATTGCAGCGTTCATTGGCCCAGAGGATAAAATAGGCTATAATACTGATGTAGGAGGAAGGGGCAGATTTGCTCGGCTCGCGATTATAGTGGATTTAAATAAACCATTATTATCATGTATGCGAATAGATGGGATGTTGCAAAAGCTCGAATATAAAGACTTACGATAGATTTGTTATGGATGCAGTATTTATGGCCACTCTAAATAAATGTATGAGGCTTGTTCAGGTGATAAGAGTGAGTCGGCTGATGCGGCACCACCTGCAAAGGAGGCTATACCTAAATCGAAATATCGGAGTCCAACCTGTTTAGACCTTGGATGGTTATCAAGAATAGACGGAGGAAAATCGGGATGGGTTCAAGGTTTCCGATTCTAGAAGTTGAAAGGAATGGTGAAACGACTAAATCTGTTGGTGGACAGAATTCCGGTAAACAAGGAGATAGTGTAAAGAATAACAATCAAAAGCATGAGGGCATTCTAAAAAAGAATACTCAGGGAGGGGTTGTGAGGAATTAAGCGTATAGGACATCAAATCCCGACAAAAAAGGAAAAAACAAAAATGGTTCCAAGGCAGTTGAAGTGATCCCGATTGGTGAGTCGAGAGAGGTTGAAGTCCATGAGCATGTTGACACTAGGAAAAATGGCAAATACACAACAATCACGATTGTTGAACATGGTGAGGTAGGGACCTCCAAGGCGAGCCAAAATGGTGGTCACGGGAAAGGGAGAGTCGGAGTATCCAAATTAAACAATGCCTCTCGGTCACTCCAAATTTGAAAGCCGCCAGACCCGGGACAAAAGAAGAAGGAAACAGCTTCTGAGCTGGTCAATAGGCTCACTAAGGAATTGAATAACCTTAGAGAGGGAACTAATCAGAATAGCTTATCACTGCAGTTGGAGAATGTTGATGCCTCTCCCATGGTACAATCTTCTGATGACGAGGAATGGTATGATTTGAATTCACAAGAGGAACTGCCAGATGGTGGTGAAGACAGTGCCAAACTGTAAGGTTAATTTTTTCCTGACTTATTTGTTTTTATAATGAAAGTTATGTTATGGAATTGCTAGGGGGCAGCAAGCTTGACGTTTCGAAGGTATTTTAAAAATTTTGTTCGTGACTATCATCCGGAGGTTGTGGCTTTATTTCAACCCCGTATCAGTAGAACCACGACTGATGGGGTTGTCTCTAGATTTGGGTTTCTATATTCTTTTCGGGGTGGCATTTGGCTTCTTTGGACGGCGAATGTTGATATGGAAATCCTACAAGCTTCGAATCAAATTGTTAGCACCATGGTTCATGTCCGAGAGAGAGGAATCAAGTTTCAACTTACAGTTGTTTATGCGAGTCCGAATAGCAATAGACGGAAGAACTTGTGGCGTTAGTTGAGTCATTCAAACCCGGAGATAATATTCCTTGGATAGTTGGTGGCGATTTCAACGTGATTCTGTCTGAAGAGGAGGGGTCAGGTGGTGCTCGTGTGCGGCACCATGGAGATCGTCAATTTGCAGATTTTTTTATGAAGGGCTATCTAATATAGGTTTTTGAGGCCCCTCATTTATGTAGGTAAGGGGAAATCTCTATAAAAGACTTGATAGATGTGTCATCAACGTGAAGTGGACAACTTCTTTCATAGACTCTCATGTAATTTATCTCGATAGATTAGGTTCGGATCATTGGCCGTTGTTGGTTTCTTTGGGGAAAGAGA